TATACAACAATATAGATTCATCGATGCAACGGCTTAACGCCAGCCACTGTCCCGGAAATTGTCTATAGCCCACTGAATTTTTCTTTGGTGCTGTGAATGTGAACGTTTGCATTAATAATGCCATTAATGGTCACATTACAAGTGTAATAATAATTGTCCTTGATAGATACACGCACGCACACACACACACACACACACACACACACACACACACCCCGACATGGATATCCCGTACTGCAATTAGGCCAAGCGACTGTCCAAACTGTCCGACTTGGCTCGGCCTGCATTTTGGCTTAATGTAAACGCATTTAAACGCAATTACTTTTCACTCGATGTGTGTGTCAGTGTGTGTGTGTTTTCTTACCAACTGACACGTACCAAAGCAATTTCTGCTGTTGTTGCTGATACTGATGATGATTGCTGCCGTCGCTTGGAGTGTCGTCATAAAGATCCTTTATCAAAACGTTAATGGATTGAGTTATATGTATAGGCACATACCTTCGAACTTGCATGCATGTGTGTGTACTACACTTACCTTTGTTGTTGTTCGGTTGTCGTTGTTGCTTACACGTGTGCTTGAGTGTTTTGGCTCTGTGCACTTGCATTACGTTGCCTTTTTAGTGTCGAACTTCGCACAAACACATTTAATGTAAAGTTAATGAAATGCTCTGGCCCATGTGCGTAATTGTCGAGCACAGGGTATTATTAATTATGACGCACCCTAATTTTTGTAAAGAGCCAAGATACTGGATATACTGTTGCCCACAGCATAAATGTGCTGAAAGGCCATATTAATTGCGTTTTAATGAAACTAGGAAATTTGTGTCACATACACTACAAAATTAACCCTTTTCGAGGAAAATTCCTCTGGAAATAGATAAATTGTGTGCGTTTTTGCTCTTGAAAGCAGATCAAGCGACCTGATAAGAAAATGGGAATTCGGAGAAATACTCACATTTATCAATGTGCTTCACAATGTTCTGGAACAGGTTTTAGAATGTTGCTGGCCTCTTGAATTAGCATATGCCATCAATTACATAACTCTTTATGCGATTCGCCTGTTCAGTTTCCGTTAAGCTCTATTGCGGTCTTTTTTGCACTATTATGCATATAGCTATCCCTTTCCCAGAGGCAACCACAAATGAAATTAAATATAGGCAGTACAAAAAAAGAAATAAATTCAATGAAAACAAAAAACGCTGCGGTTGGCGCATCTTTTTTTTTATTTGTATTACTTTGTATATATTTTTTGTTTTTGGTTTTATTCTATTATCAGTTGGCATGAAAAAATAATATAAAATAAAACAAAATGAAATAAATGATGTTTGTGCAGGGGTATGCATTGCATATTTGAGTCGATGGAGGCGGTGCATGTGTATGCGCTGATAAAAAATTCATTAATTCATATGCGAAATGCAATTAAGCGCAGTGGCTGCCACAAAAACAAAAGCAAAAAACGACAAAGATGACAATTAAAAAAAGCTCGTGGCATAAATAAATGCGAAACAGCAAACGCAGCGGCAGTTAAATTAACAAATTGCATGCATATTTTAAATAAATATAAATATTTTAATAAGATTAAACTATAATGCAGCCAAATGTCAAAGCCGCGCATTCCCAATGGGATAACACATGAATTTGCAAACGGGAGTAGCGAGTAAAAAAGTGCATTTTGCTTAATTTATGCGGTTTTCAATTACCCTTTTGATATGAATTAATGACTGCACCCGGACGCTTTTTCAGCTCTCAGTGTTTTTCTATCACACACACACACCACACACACACACACACAATTTAATTAACATTCCTGATTAAAGGCACAAAATAATGCCAAGGTAAATCAAAAGCCCACCCAGTCAGCCAGCCTTTCTCTGCGCTTCTCAATCTAACACAGCATTCGTGCGCCGCTTTATGCGCTTCTCAGGTGCTGACTTGCTCTTCTTTCTACATTTTTATATTGCATTTCCAATACGTTTGCCTGTTGTTGCATGCTGCACTCAATCATTTAATCCAAATGTTTAGTTTGCAACTACTTTGAGCTATGTGCATTCCTGTAACCGCAACAACATCAACAACATTCTTGGGCCCTATGTCTGGCCAGCACAATTTCATGCCCGTGTAAACTATTTGTCGACAATTTTGTCTGCAACAAAACTCCGCGTGCCACAGCAAAGCCAACCAACCAAGCAACCAAACCCACAGCGAGCTCAAGTCCATATCCAAGTTTAAGTCCCAGTCCCCGCCTGGTGCTTGTTCGAGTCCAGCAAAGCGTAAAAGCGCGCGCTAGCACGAAACTTGGTTGCTTTAGTCTTTTTTGGCCTGGTCAATTGCCGGTCTAATGACTGTGACTTCAGCTGCAACTTGTAGGCCGCCTATCACGCCAATACACGGCATACGGCGCACATCCTTCTCACAAAATGCACAAAATATGCAAAGTACAACGATTTAAATCAATTCTATGCGCTATCAGGCTGACTTTCGGCATCGGCCCAGGCATTGCCATTGTTTTTGCTCTCTCTTGATCTCTGTCGCTCTTCTTCTCTCTACTTGGCGCTTATCGAAAGTTTACGCGTGTAAAGTAAGTTTACGTGTAGCACGGCAAAGTGCATTGATAAGCCATTCAACTTGAGTCTGAGTCTCAGCTCTAGACTTTCTTTCCTCCTGCCTGCTGATTAGTCGATCAACGAATGAATTCAGGATTTTAAATATGCAAAAAAATACAAAGAAGAGGAAGAAAAGTAAAGGTTTAAAATTAAAATCAAGCTAAGCGGCATTAAGAGCCTCTTAAGAGGCAACTGCGTTCACGAGATTCGCGGCTCAGGTCTGCGCAGGTCTTGGCCAACGCCATTATAGCTCATTATCACCCCGGGCAGCTCAGTCTTACATTATGTTGATGAGATTTTTTTTCTGCACTGGCCGTTCTAATAGAAAAGCCCTGGCTTGTATGGGCAGTTACAGATGGAGAAAGGTAGAGAATTAGTGAGGGAGCGTAAAGAGTGGAGAGGAATGTGCCAGCCTCTGTGCTGTGCTGTGTTGTGCTGTTCATTAAAAGGAAGGCACGCCCACAATGGCTTTCATTAATTGTTGACAATGATTACCAGGGCCGATGGCCTCAATGGCAAGGAAAAAAAAAACAAAAAACAGAGCACAATACAACACGAAACGACTCAAGAAGTCAAAACGGAGACGCAGCTCGAAAAGAAGTCGCTACGTTGGCCAAGCGAAATGCAATTTCAATTTCCAACGACAGGTGATAAATAAATCGAAAAGCAACGAATTGAATTGAATCGGCTTCGGTGGCATCGGCAATCGATTCGATGCGCTGCGTTGCGAATGAAATTGCGCCATATTTGGGCGTTATTTGTAGCCGCCACTGAGTTGGCCAACAGGCAGCCAAGAGGCTGAGGCATACTCTGACGCAGAGGCTGAGGCGTTGGCATCGAGCGTCGCATCGCGTCGAAGGCATTTAATTGCCACCACGGCGTTTTTGACGTCTACGCATCAGAAATCGAGGCCCCATTGCTGCTCTCTGTCCGCAGTCCGTTGTCCGCTGTCCGCAGCCCGTTTGCTGTGCGCATTTTGAAAAGGTGTTTTGTCGCAAGACCTCCAATCCAACACCCTGTAGCTCCGTACCCAGCACCATTCCCGTTCCCAGTCCAGTGCAGTCCCAGTCGGTCTTCTTCTGGCCCGAATGCGAGTGCGAATTGGCATTTATTTTGCGCATTTGGCATTTTCGGGGCGCGTTGTTCATTTAACCGTGTTTAGTGTCTGTCGCTGTTGCGCTTTTTAATTTCATTTCGATTTGCTTTTTGCCAGTCGCCGGTGTCAGTGTCAGCTCCGAGTCCCGAGTCTCTTTTACAGCACGTTGAACAACAGGAACAAAATGATTTAAGATGTTCGACTGTCAGTGCTGACAACATTGACAGTAAAATTATTTCTACGCGCTGCAGAAGGTTAATTATCATTGATTTATTTACAACTAAAGCCAAAAAACAGCAAGAAGCAGCATAGTAGTCGAAACAAGGACACCTCGGGGCTAAATAAACTACACCTAAATACCCTCTGAATTGTCGCAGGAATTAATATATAGTATATACATATATGGCTGGTATTTCCATATCCATCAATTAAAGTTGAATTTGAATATCATTATTCAACGTACACACAGAAATTTAAATAGAATTTAAATAGAATTCCTTTCTAGTTAATATTCAGCAAATTGTTTTGGCACAGCAAATGGTTTACGAGCACCATATGATTGGCTTAAAATGCCATTTTATATGCCATAAAATGCAAAAATGCATAAAAAAACACAAAAAGACTTAAATAAAAATTAAATAATTTATTGAAATGAAATGCGTGCAAAGCAAACATTCTGCAAACTAACAAATAGCTAAAAAAGCAAAAGAAAAACTACCCATGACAGCTATAAATATTTTCAAATAGACAAACAAACCAATAACAAAAAAAATGTAAATCTGTGCGTTAATTTGCATTTTTGTTGCATGATAACAACGACAACAACAAGGCAACAACAAACACGTTAAGCCGCAAGCAAAATTAAAACACGAGACATTGTTAAAATATTAAATTAAAATTAACATTGCAAAATGGCAAAAGCGCGGGGCCAGCAGGTGCGGTGGGAGGCAGCGGTCAATAAAATTGCTTGTCAAAGTGAATTTAAAATAATTATTGTGCATAATGCGGCATGGAGCGTATTAAATTAAATGCTGCACAATAATCGAATTAATAACAATAATGCGTTATAAAAACAAAAAATATTCATATGCGTGTGTAGACCCTGTGAAAGGTAAAAAAAAAATAGAAAAACAATAGAGGCTGGTGAATTTTGAAAATTATTTATTTAAGTATGAATATTTAATGCGTAGCCGCATCATGTGGACTTTTCCCATAGCTCCCTTTTTAATGCTAATTAATACACAATGTGCATTAAATTGAAAGTGGCATTAATTTATTATGGTTCTTGTTTCTATTTTCAGATGGTAAGTTCTTATCATCACTCAATCCTTCAGAACTAACATACGATGGTAAGTCACATTTTACATTAAGTCATTTAACACATAGCATTATTTAGTATCGAGTACATTTTGCATGGGGCCGCTCTCAGCTTCTCAGCTTCCGCACACGTGGCCCAAGCTGGTTCACACATTAATCAACTTACCAAGTTAGCCAGCGATCAAACTTTGATGGCTGTCTGTCCGTCGGGCTGTCTGTCACTAATCCTTCTTTGCCGGCTCGCTTAAACGCTCGCTCCTGCTGGCCGATCACGTTCCTGCTGGCTCACGCCCACTTTGCGCGCCGAGGCCGCTTCCTGTCGGCCGTTTCGCTAAAAATGAGAAATTTCTTTTTAATTTAGACTTAAACAGAACTGGCGGCTGCAGCACAAGGTGCAGCAGCAGGAGCAGGAGCAGCTGATAAAAAATCATTATAAAGTTAAATTTTAATTAAAAACTACAATCGATTATAAAAAGGGCAGACTGTCTGCGGCTCATAAATTGAACACACTGGCGGTCTCTGAGCTTTCAACGTGCATGTCACGCCTCCCCACAAACCCCAAGCAGTAGTTACTATCAGCACTGCTGCTATCCTACCACGCTTCTGCTCCTCACAATAATGATGATGATGAACTTGTGCCAATTTTGATGTGAAAATCGGCGTCCGCGCTGTGCGCAGTGGCAGTTTACAGTTTGATTGTTGCCAGCCGATAGCTGGATACGATCCAGACCCTTGCCGTGATTATATAAGCAGCGCTTTTCGCTTTCATTAATAAGCAGCAGCCACATCAGCAACAACAATTAACCCACTAAGCGTTTGCCTGGCACGTGATTTTTGATGGAAATTTGATTTATAGCCAGCTTGTTGTCTCAGCTAAGCGTCGAGCGTCACAAAAACTAAAAAGAAATATCACAATGCAGCTGTCCGTTGTGTTCTTCTTCGGGTATGGTATCTCTTTTTATGACGCCACGCAGCGTTAACTTGAGGAATGGTGTGTAAAATCAATAAGGACGTTAAAATTAGCAATAATTGTAAAAATGGTCTGCCAGTCAGTAGCTGCCTTAAACGCAAAGCCAACGACCAGACGACATCGCCCTTACGCCAAACACCCCACACCTTACACCACGCGCCCCTTTGGCGTTAGACGCTATTAATTTAGGTTTCTCTGGACCAGGACCTAGTAACCCAGTAATCATTGCCAGACACAAGTTTTTAGGCCCTGCCAGACGGAGCAAAAAACAAAACCCAAAAAAATCCAAAAATGAAAATGAAATATGCCAAAAAGTGTAATTTGTATTATAAGCTACGTAGAGCGGCACAAGGACCGAACTGGAACACGCTTGTGTGTGACTTATGTGCGCCCACGTCAACAACAGCAGTAACAACAACAAGAACAGCCATAAGAACAACAACAATATTAACACCAACAAAATGAACAAATGCAATGGCCACGGCCAGGGCCAGACACAAACACAGATACACAGAACGAAAGCGGCAGGCAGATAAAGTGAGAGCGAGGGTGAGAGATAGAGAGAGCGCATTTAAGCACAACTTTAAATAATCGTCTGTCAGAACTGTCAAACAAGCCGGCGAGCGCTAGAATTAATGGCACAGTGCAAGACAAAGAGAGTGTGAGAGTGACAGAGAGAGAGAGGGAGAAAAGCATTTGTTTGGTTGTGCTTGTGTGCTTGCGCGCGCGTGTGTATGTGTGTGTGCTTGCAATTTGTTTGCCCTGCGCAGGCGCAAAGCGTGCATTGAACCTGTGCCTGGCAGTTACCCGTATGTGGAGCAGACACACACACAGTCATACACACGCACACATATACTCACGGCCACAAGTTGAATTATTGTTTTTGCGCGTATTGAATGAGAGAGTGAGTAAGAGAGACAGAGAACGACAACGAGACACGGCGACGCAGTCGCAACGAGTTAAAAACAATGTCTGCCCAGGCGTCGACGTTGCTGCCAATGTCGCTGCGGTGCTTTATCACTTTTGCTGCTGCGGCTGCTCCTCTCTCTTCCCCTCTTTGCAAGTGTATTCGTGTGTGGGTATTGGTGTATAAACTTTACACAAAATTAATGCGCTGTGCCGCAGCGGGCGAACTTTCAACTGTTGCTGCTGTTGGCTGCCTCAAGATGAAAAATTATTGCTTTTAATTTATTGCATAAACAAAGGCAATGTGTATCTGTGTATGTGTGTGTGTGTAATAGCGTTCAAGGTCATGGTTAAAGTATGCACACACACACACACATTAACGTCGACTGCGCTGCTTGGGGCTTTCCCCGGCGTCGCTGTCGCAGCGCCGCCAACTGTCAAAAATGATTTAGTAGTTCAAAGCCGCGTTTTGTTGTCGTTGTTGTCATTGATGTTGTTGTTGTTACTGCCCCGCTGCCTCCGCTGCGAGCACATCATTTTTCGCACTCTTGCCGACTGCCGACCGATTCCTGTCAGAAGCAACTCCAACTACAACAACAATAACGGCAGCGTTTGACACTTGCAACGGCCATTTTGACAGCTGGCAAAGGTCAAACTGAAAGGAAAAGTGAGACACAGTTTTTGATAGATTGGCGAGTTTTACTCATACGTAAATACATACATGTTATGCACATACGAATGTGAGCATTTGTGTGCCTGTGTGCGTCATTCATTCATTGTTCATTTAGACTGTCCGTCCATCAGTAAGTTGTCAAGTGCAGTGCAATTTTGAGGCATTCGCGCGTTTTTATAGTTCATTGCGCCCAATAAAAGCCAGCCAGCAATGACAGCAACAACAATAAAATGCCAAATCAAAATCAAAAACAGGCAAAATTAACTAGTCATAAAAGCGAAGAGACGAGCGGAGAGCCATAAAAAATAAAAAATACCAAAATATTCAGAAAAACCAGAAACATCAACGCCAAACGGCAACTGTTGATAGATCATTTGAAGCATATATATTTTTTATTGTGTTGCTGCCATTGTTGATGATGTTGTTGTTGTAGATCTACGCGCAGCTGACAAATTCAAAACTGAAACTGAAAACTAAAAGCTGAAAACAGAGCGGCCCGGCTAAAAACTTTGATTTATGATGTTGATAAATGAGAATTTAATAAATTTGCTTATTTGTTCGACGAGTTGCTTTCCGAGTGTCGGATTTGGTTTCGGTTTCGGTTTCAGTATTGAGTTTAGTGCGACTGCAAAAATGTAGAAATACAAAATGCAAATGCCCAAACATCAATTAAATTTTGGCAGGCCCGGGGTATTCAAAGTTCAGATAGCGAATACTATGAGTTTCGCTCGATTTTATAGACAAATGATGGCGCCTATTTCAATAGATTAACATGCTCATAATGTTATTTGACTGTCTCGAGTTTGTTTTTGTCGGTTTGTCTGTTTCTTTATTTGTATTCGGTCTCTTTGGGTCATCCATTTGTAAAGCAATTGGCAATTGACAGTAGAAGAGATGTTAAAGAGATTTTTTAAAATACACAGCTTAAAATTTAGCCTAACCTAACCTCATATTTTGAGGTATCTTTTTCCGAGAAAACTGTATGCTATCGTTGAACATATTGATTATATTTGTTAATATCAAATACAACTTTTAGTTTAAATAGAGGGCTTAATAATAAGATCAAGCTGAAGAGTTGCCTTTAGTTAGTTCCTATCCACTTGGCAAAATTGAATCCATCTCTTGATATATGGCACTTGAAACGTATAAATAATACAATTTACCGCCCGGGCAATCCACTCCACTCCCCACACAGGGCTCTACTCATCATAATTCCATAGCATATGCACGGGAGCTTAAGCTGCCAAAAGACCAAGTGTATTTGGGAGCCACGTCTACCCCGGCTCGAAAACATAAATCCACCACAATATGCGCTTGATATTCAGTTGATGCGGCCGAATCCTGGCGATTGTCCTGCTGAATTATGCATGCAACAAATTGTATAAAAATGTGTGCAACTTTACGTAGTTACGTGCCGAAATTTGAAAATCAAGCGACCCTGCCCGGCCCGTGACGCCACACTCGATAGAGAAATTTGAGGCATACTTGTCAGACCAAATACGTACAGCCAGACAGAGTGTGTCCTAGGGCTCAGCCTTAGTTTTGTTCATTGGATAAGCCAACCCCCAGAGGAGTAGACAAGTTACTTGGGACGAGGGGGCCTGGTCTCTGTAACGTTTACAAAGTGATTACTCGTGTTTAAAAATTGATGACTGCTGTTGGACACGTTTTCAATTTAAAAACGGCCACGAAAATGGTCCGCCTACTCCTCCTACACTGCAGGTATCTTCCGCTGCGACTGAGCATTCAACGAGATTGAAACTTGTTATTGCTTCAACTCCTAACTCGAAACTTCAACGCCAACTCCATCCCCACCTCAAAGTGAACAGAGCGTTGAAAATTGTCACATAAAATCATTTGGACGACCTTTGGCTTCTCGTTAAAAGCAAACGATACAAGTTCTACCATTCGTATGTCTCTGTTAATAGGCAGCAGAACGAGAGAGAGAGAGAGGGAGAGAGAGGGAAATTGTTGTCATCTGTCGAACGGCAATTAAATGCTTTGGGTATCGTTAAATCATCAGCGATGATTGACTCGTGGCTGCTGTCTGTCCTTGAAGATTTACGGCTGCTAAATGCTGCATTCGTTTTATTTGTCAGATCATCGATAATCAATTTCCAAGACGCCACACATTCCGGCCTTTTATGATTGGCTATAAAAGCAACGGCCAGGTTTAAGTGGATTAGCAACCGGTCGCTGGCTGTAACCAAATATTTAAATGGCACTCTGCAAAATAGTCAAAAATCGTCTAATGAATTGCTGTTGTTTATAATTCGTCGGTTTTTTTTTGTGAATTTTATAGTAGTTTCGAGTGGATTTTTATTCCGATAGTAAAAATTTATTTTCTTTGGGTGTGGTCAAGGGCGCAGTTAGCCCTTTTAGACTCACATTCGCGGAGTGCCAACAAAAGCTGTAGGGCAAAAAAGCCAGGATGTCAAAACGTCAGAGGAGGCAGCAACGCCCTGAGGTATGCAATGCTTTTA